ACACATTGACTGAGCCAGGCTTGGTCTGCTGTCTTCCATTTGTCCCCCCCCCCCCATGATGCCCTCTGACTGGAAAGCTTACTCCACCTTGGTCCGGAAGTGTGCATGGGGGCGGGGGAGCTTGTTCCCACCCGGAGCCTGCAGAGATGACTCTATGAGGTCTACACTACATACACGTTAAAATAGACTTTGAAGTTTAGTGTAATTCAAGATTATAAAGAAGGTTCAAAACACTGTGGCTTACCTTCTGTGACCAGCAACAGGTGTCCCCCAGTGCCACCTGCTCAGGGACCTACTGCTAACTAAAGCTCGTCCTTCATCCATGAGAGCTCCACGGGGTATTTAGCTCCTTAGGGTTTTCTAGGTGGAGACGGCCCCTCACGCTCTTGTCTTAACTGTCAGCTCGCAGAAGCCCTGGTCAGGAGGTGTGTATTGTCCCCGGCATGGCATATCCCCCAGACTGGGGGTGTGTGTCAGTTACAAAGTTTATACTGTCTTCTCTGCACCCAGTTAAGGGTGAGCACCGTGGCTACGAGGTCATAGTCAGTGTGACCTCCCTTGCTTAGCTGGCAGAGGCAGAGTCAGGCGAGTCCACCCTGAGGTCCTTCCTCACGCTGACCCGAGCCTGGCTTTCATTCCCCACATCCCGAGTCTCCCGAAATGTCTGGAATTCTGCAGTAGAGAGACTGTTTTCCCCATCCCTAGAGAGATGGCTTATGTCGGGTCTAATGTTGCAACACCGAGGGGCAGTTCCGATGAGGGTGTCTCCCGGCTAGAGCTGAGGGAATACAAGCCTGACTGCACCATCAAGGTCGTTTTCATGCGGTGGAGAACTCTGCACCAATGCTGGCACAGTCCCTCCACACTTCCACCAATCAGAGATGTCCTTGTGCTGGGTCAGCTGGGGAGAGACTGTCCCCCTCGCCCAGGTGAAAATGGCTGTAGCTAGCGTCAGTCAGAGCCAGATTTGAGGTAGCTGGCATAGTGCCTCCTGAAGCTAGGGAGTGTGCTTCCGTAGCAAACAGTCGCTGACGCAGGGTGGCTTCCTCAAGGTATCTGTGGAGTGTCCAAAGCAGTAGACGCTGGCCTGATGGCCTTAAGCTCTAGATAGCATGTGTGTAAGAGAAAGATCATCTCTTTCTTAGGAGTGAAATGGCCTCAGGCGTCAAGATTACAGCCTATTTAAGGGGAAAATAAACGTTAAATGTTTACGGTAAAGGATCATGGGTATTAATAGTGGGTTAATAGCATTCCCCATGCTAACCCTCTTCCCCAGTGCCTCAAGGTAAGGAAGACACTTTTAATTTGCATTGGTTGTCTAGGGACAGAGTTCAACTCCTCCCTGTTTTCACTGTCAGTTTTGCTGAAGTGGGGACTTGTTCCTGCCCTTCTCAGAGGACGGAGCTGGAGACTGAGAGACATAAGGGCATTGGCAGAGGGGGAAATAGGGCCTGTGCTCTTGGTAGTGATTCTGGACCTGCAGGGACAGACAGGATCTAAGAAGGGCAGGGCAGCAGCCATTGCCCAGGGAGTAATGCACCTTGGATGAGAGAGGCAAAGAGGGACATGGAGACTGCCTGTCCCTCAGCCCCTCTGGTGGCCTGTCCCTCAGGCTCACTTCTCCCTGTCCCTCAGCCCCTCTGCTCCCTGTCCCTCAGCTCCTCTGGTGGCCTGTCCCTCAGCAATCCCCAGCTGGGGCCCTGTCCTTCAGCCCAGCAAACCCACCCTCCTTCCTGTCTCTATGGGAATGCCATGAATTGCAGCCATGTGGGAACTGTCCCTTGTGTCTGGCCTTGTTTGCTCAACATTTGGGCTCAAGTTCATCTGTGTTGCTGAGTGTGACAGGACTTCCTTCCTCTCTAGGTTGAAGGGACCTCCCTGAGTGGACACCAGAGCCATTGTCCCTGCGGCTCTTGTCCTGCTCTGAGCCCCTGAAGCTGCCCTGGGCTCTGCCTGCAGTTCCGTCAGGTTATTGGCTTGAACACACGGTGACATACTTTTAATTATCACATTGTTTTCTGGAAGCTGCACCCCCAACATTCCCACCAACAGGGTCAAGAGGTTTTGAGTCCTCTCTATCCCTTGCTATTTTAGGATTTCTTCTGAGACAGGGCATCACTGTATTGCCCCAGCTACCCTGGAACTCACTTTGTAGACTAGGGTGACTGTGAACTCACAGAGATCCACCTGCCTTCTGGGATTAAAGGTGTGCACAACAGTGGTCCATCTATTTTAGGATTTTTTTGAGGGTATGGGGGTTTCAAAACAACATTTCTCTGTGGCTTTGGAGGCTGTCCTGGAACTAGCTCTTGTAGACCAGGCTGGCCTCAAACTCATAGAGATCTACCTGTCTCTGCCTCCCGAGTGCTGTGATTAAAGGCGTGAGCCACCACCGCCGGGCTGTTTTAGGATATTTTAAACTGTAGTTCCTCCTAATGTTTGCTCGAGCTGATAACTGAGTTTGCTGTTTGTGTTTCAAGACAACAAGCCTGAACTGGCCTGGAACTCTCCGTCCCTCTTGCCCCGATCCCTGTAAGAGCTGGGATTACAGGTGTGCGCCACCACACCCAGCTGTTAATTTCAATGAATTTTTCTTTTAAACATTTACTTATTATTTTGTGTGTATGTGGGCCATGGCTAGTTTTATGTCAATTTGACCCAAGCTAGAGTCATCTGAAAGGAGGGATTCTCCACTGAGAAAAATGTCACAATGATATCTGGCTGTAATTTGTGACTGATTCGTGAGGTCCCAGGCCATGCCATCCTGGGCAGGTGGTCCTGGGTTCCATAAGACAGCAGGCTGAGCAAGGCATGAGGAGCAAGTCAGTAAGCAGTGCCCCCCCCCATGGCCTCTGCATCAGCTCCTGCCTCCAGGTTCCTGCCCTGCTTGAGCTCCTGTCCTGACTTCTTCAGTGACAGACAGTGATGTGGAAGTGTCAGCCACATAAACCCTTCCTCCTGTCTGGTTCAGGGCTCCATCGCTGTGAAGAGATGCCATGTCCTGGGCAACTCTTATAAACGAAAGCACTTAATTGGGGTTGGCTTACAGTTTCAAAGGTTTAGTCCATTATCGTCACGGCAGGAAGCACGACAGACTTCGTGGAATAATCTTTTTGTACACTGTGAAGATGTACCACTCGGTTTGGTTTAATAAAAAGGTGAATGGCTAAATGGGGGTTCATGGCCCATGCCTTTAATCCCAGTATTCGGGAGGCAGAGGCAGGTGGATCTCTGTGAGTTTGAGGCAGGCCTTGTCTCCAGAGCGAGTTCCAGGACAGCCTCCAAAACAATACAGAAAAACCCTGTCTCGAAAAAAAAAACCAAAAACCAAAAACCAAAAAAAAAAAAAACAAAAAAACTGGATGACCAATAGAGAAGCGTGAGTTTTGGGGCAGAGAGCACTGGGAAGAAGGTGGAGACACTGAGAGACGGAGAATAAGCAGGACATGCAGGAGGAGACGTAACAGCCACAAGCCATGTGGCAGCACACAGGTTAACAGAAATGGGTTGATTTAGACTACACGAGCTCGTTAAAAACAAGCCTAAGCTGCCGGCCAAGCTTTCATAATTAATAAGGAGTCTCTGTTGTTTGTTGTGAGCTCTGCTTGACCTGATTGCGGACGACTGCAGTCTTAACCATCACAGTCGCCCTGGAGAACCCCAGCAACCATTTAACAATACACACACACACACACACACACACACACACACACACACACACACACACATGAGCCAGCCCTGGCTCTCAGCACAATCATGTTGGAAGCTCACAGCTAACCTTGGTCCCAGAAACACACCTGGTGTTCAGACACAGTTTAAGGAAAACCAGGCACATTCCAGATGGGGTGAAGTCATTTTCATCCTCGCCATAGCGATTGTGAAGATCTCTGGTCTTTCTCTTGCCCAGTGCTATGCTTCAGTCTGTGTATCTGCAATAAATATCATGCATGGGTCTACAGTAGTGGGTCTGAAGTACTGGATTGCAATATTGGGTCTGCAGTACTGTGTCGGCAGTACTGGCTTGCAATACTGAGTTTGCATTACTGGGTCTGCAATAACTGGATCTGCAATACTGGATCCTCAGAACTGGGTCTGCAGTGCTGGATTGCAATACTGGATCCTCAGAACTGGATCTGCAATAACTGGATTGCAGCACTGGATCCTCAGAACTGGGTCTGCAGTGCTGGATTGCAATACTGGGTCTGCAGTGCTGGATTGCAACACTGGATCCTCAGAACTGGGTCTGCAGTGCTGGATTGCAACACTGGATCCTCAGAACTGGGTCTGCATGCCTCTTTCTCTTCTCACAGCCTCAGAGCCAGTCTTCAAATGCTAAGGCAGAGAGAGGTGAACCAGGACGGCGATGACACCACAGGCCATCAGACAAATGAGAATTAACAAAACCCAGAAAGGAAATAGGACTCAGAAAAGACTAAGAAAGAAATAAAAACATTGTAGGAGGCAGAGCAAAGGGAGCAAAGAGTGAGCAGCAGGTCATGCTGAGGAGGACGAGAAGTTTTAGAAATGAAAAAGATTAGGGCCGCTCTCAATCTTGGACAGAGAAATTTCTTTTTTTCAGTGGTCAGCCGATAATGCACAGACTTTGGGGAGCTCAGGCCTAAATGGGACACCTATGCCCCTCACTCCCAAAATCACCTATGTCCCCCCACACCCCCAAACTCATCTATGTCCCCACACCCCCAAACTCATCTGTGTCCCCACACCCCCAAACTCATCTATGTCCCCACACCCCCAAACTCATCTGTGTCCCCACACCCCCAAACTCATCTGTGTCCCCACACCCCCAAACTCATCTCAGTTGCCCCACAGTCCCAAACTCATCTGTCCCCCACACCCCCAAATTCATCTGTGTCCCCCACACCCCCAAACTCATGTGTCCCCTGCACCCCCAAACTCAGGCACTCGGAGGGAAAGGAGGTGGGAAGACTATGAGATAAGGTTGGAGATGAGTGTTGGGAAATGCTGCCTCTGGGCACAACATGGCGGCCACACTCATGGACCCCAGCAGCTGCAGTTACCTGCAGGAGATCAAGCCTGTCTACATTCCAGCAGGGAAGGGGAGGGCTCCCGAGGAGGCTCCGCTCTTCTCTGAGGAGCTATTTGCAGTTAATGGCAGCTGCAGGAGCGGGGGGGGGGGGGGTATTTTTCTTATTGGTTAAAGTACTCATGCTCCTGCACATAGTCCCACACCCACACACGTGCAAGGAACACTAATTAAACTGTGTCACAAAAAGAGGTCACATGTGTAGGAGGGTGATTACTTCTTGAAGGGACCTGGAGGGGAGAGGGATGGGGCCTGAGAAAGAGTAATGGAGAGTGAATGCAATGAAAATACATTATATACATTAAAAAAGAAAGTTAAGGAGCTGTCCGGATGGCTCAGCGGGTAAAAGGTGTTTAGCACCAAGCTTAACTTCCCGAATTCAGTCCCTGGGGCCCACACGGCAGCAGGGAAGAACCGACTGGTGGGTTATACCCTGGCCTCCTCGCCTGTACTCTCCTACACAGATAAATAAATAAATGTAAACATTTAACGAAGATTATGGGCTGCAGAGATGGCTCAGCGGTTTAGGGCACTCGTTGCTCTTGCAGAGGACTGGGGTTCAGTTCCCAGAATCACATGATGGCTCATAGCTACCTGTGACCCCAGTTCTGGGGAATCCATTGCCCTTCCCCAGCATCCATGGGCACCAGGCACGCACGCATGCAACGTCACTCATATGCAAAAGACACATAAATCTAAAAAATAAAGGTGAAAGGAGCCGGGGCTGGTGGTTGCACCTGTAATCCCAGCACCTGGGAGACTGAGGCAGGAGGATTGCCACGAGTGTGGTGCCAGCTTGGGCTACACAGTGATTTTTTAGGTGAGCCTGGCCTGTAAGTGAGACTCTATTTCAAAAAGAAGGAAGAGGAGGAAGAGAAGGCGGAGAAGAAGGAGATAGAATATTGCAGCAAGAGCCAAAGGGAGAGAAACAGGCAACAAGATGCAGTTTCTTCAAAAAGGATGCAGGGACGGCCCAAGCCCACGAAGGGATGTTCAGCGCGCAGGGAGTGAAAACCACAGTCACGAGGAAACACGCGCACGTTACATCCCACAGGAAGGCTAGGCTGAAGCACATGCTGGAGAGGATGGGAGACCCTGGGCCCCTCCCCACCGCAGCTGGAGAATGTGGCTCAGACAGCCAGGCCCCCTCAAAATGCTAAGTGTAAGGTTGCCACGGGACCCGAGGCCACAGAACATCAGGGGAGAGTGAAGCCTGACCGGCTAGGTACCCCCGAGTCCTGCTTCCATCTGGTCCTCACACCTGGCCTACCACTTCCAAGCAGGATCATGCTGGCCTCTCCCAGAGCCCTTGAATGCCAAGCGTGATAAAGGGCCAGAGTTCACAGACGCAGGGTCCATCCCTACCGGCGTCCCGTAGTCCTGGAGGACCATTTCAGAATCCCATGGTCTCCATCTAACAATAGATATCACCTTCTCGGAGCTGCCCCGTTGTTGGCTGGAGCCGAGGTCCTAGAGACCCAGAAGAGTCCTCTTGGGTGGGCTGGGGTCCACAGTGTCAATCCCTGCTACTGTTCAGCTGACTAGCATCTTCCGACTGTGGGGTCCTTCCTCCTGAGCTTGGGCCCCAAAGCTATGACTGGTCACTCAAATCAGGCTGGGGACATCCCTGGCCCTGGCTGATATTAGCTTCTTTTATCCGTGGTGGCACCCAGAGACCCACTAACCTCCAGTAGGGAGAGATCTTAGGTACGTACTTGTAGCACTGACCACGCCCGTTTGGGCGTGGTCACAGGTATCATCTAGAAGATGCAGGGGGATAAAGAGCTCTCTCTTGGGGTTCCGGTCGGGTCTCGGAGAGCAGCGGATGCTGACCTTGGGTTCTCAGCTGCTCATGTAAGTGACTTCTCCCTAAATAAATATCCTGTCTAGGGTAATCCACCTCAATAACCTCCAGTTCCCATGTCAATATTGGGACTTTATTGTGAGGGTCCCTGCTAGGTCAGGGAGAAAGGAACAAGGTTCATCCAGCAACCGGAACATGCTCAGTGGCTGGAGGCCAGGTTCTCAGGGCAAGACTGGCGGATGATCCCCAGGGGCCCTCCTTCCTGCAGCTGGAGCTGACACTACCAGGAACTGCAAGCTGGGTTGTGGATGCAGCCTGGTGGTAGTCAACAGGCCGGGGGTGACATTATAGACTGTGCAGCAAATGGGAGCCCAGGGGCCCCCGGCTGATGTTCAGGGGCTTGGGGAACAGGGAACAGAGTGTTGTATTGTATTCGGAGCAGGACGCCAGTACCTCGGGGATACACAATGACAGCTCACTCCTCCCACTCAGCCACCGACACCCCTGCCCTACAGAGGGTCCGTCAGAAGCCCAGGGAGGTGAGGCAGCTCCAGGGGGAGGTCGGCCATGCCAGCAGAAGCTCCAGCCCTTCTGTGCGGTGGGGAAGCGGGCTTGCAGAGACTGAGTGCTGCGCCATCTACGTCAGCGTATGCCGAGCCAATGACACTTCCAAGGCCAGCACCACACCCAGGAGCTGGGCACACAGCTCCTACCAGGCTTGCTTTGGGTGTGGCCAGCCTTAGGTGAGGGCAGTGAACCTCGGAACCCACCACCCCTTTTTTTCTTACTGATAGGGATGGAACTTGTTGCTTTGTGTTACGCTGGGCAAGTGTGCTGTTACTGAGCTGTTCTCAGACATTGGTCATCCCCTTGGACAGGGCCATGGGCTCTGCAGCCTTAGAAGGAGGAACTGGTGTCTCCAGTGGCTCCTCATCCTAGGTCCTTTTCAGACTCGGGTTCCAGCAGGACACCTGCTTATGCAGGGATGGGATCACGGCCGACTAAGCATCACCCGGTCAGAATTTCCAGGCATCCTGAGGCCACCAGGACCCAGAACCAGAGGTTTTGCCCCAGGATGGAGCCGATGTTTCAAGGCTATGGGGTCGGGACTGACTCAGAGCCGGCACTGGCCCTGCAGCGGTTTGGACTGGGTGAAAGAGGGTGGCGCGGCGCCCCCTGGTGGCGATACCGGACATTACTCGCTTTTGTTCCATGATCACTCAGGGCAGTTTGCACAGCTCAAGGTTGGCTGATTTGAGCGGTCCAGATTTTCCACCCTCACATTCTGCCCTGTGTCTAGCCCCAAGATTTCCACCTGCAGCACAGCGGGTCGCATGGGTGCAAAACAAAGCCCTCCTTGGGCAGACACAGAGGGCCCGTGGCCTTGGCTGTCAGCTGACCCCTCCCATCCTTTCTGATAATGGAGCTCTGTGTGGTTTGGGAACCTCTGTGACAAAGCTCCCTTTGTGTCCGTGGGCTTGTTTGTATGAACAAAGTTGCATAGTGCTCACACCATTCAAACCCCAAAGTGGGCGGTTAATTGGGGCTGAACACAGCTATATATGCTAGATAAGGTTTCACTGCGCAGTCCTGGCAGCCTGGGACTCACTATGTGGACTGGGACTGGTCTTGAACTCACAGAGACCCATTGGCCTTTGCCTTCCCACATGCTGGGGCTAAAGGCCTGAGCCATCACCCATGGCTGGATCTGGCATCTTTGAGAGATATTCAAGTGGAAAAGGCGTTTGGAGACAAAGGCGCCCTATCCTTCCACCCGGGGTTGCTATGACAATGGAAATTTGCTTTTCTGCATGCTCTTAAAAACAAAACAAAACTGTTATTTGGTTTCTGATTAACTATTTATTTTTGATAGTCTCTCACTATGTTGCCCAGACCAGCTTCTTGGAATCTGCCTCAGTCTCCCCGGTGCTGACATGGTTTTGATGAGTTGAGTGTTCAAAGTTGCCCTGGTAACTAAACCCGGCAGGAAAAAGGCAAAGATAATGATCTTTAGGAAGCAATGAACAAAAAGTAACAAAAGTCATCTTATAATTTACACATTCTTCGCATCTCCATTTCCTGTTGCAGTATAACATATGTTGGGTATAGTGTGTGTGTGTGTGTGTGTGTGTGTGTGTGTGTGTGTGTATGCTGGGTGAACAATTTACCACTGAGCTACACACGAGCCTTGAATTGGCTCTGGAGGTTCAAGGCTGGAGGACAGTGCCCAGTGGGTGACATCCTGCAGTCAGTTCCCAGGGAATAAATCTGACACACCTCACCTGCTTCAGAGCCTGGTCCCCAGCTAGCGGACTGTTCTGAAGGCCAGGGGATCTGTAGGTGACGGGGCTTAGCTGAGAGAATTGGGTCACTGGGGTTGGCTTTTGAAGGTTGAACTCACCTGTGGCTCTGGCCTGTTTGCTTCCCGCCATCCTCCAAGCGAACAATACTGCTGCGGCACACCCTGGCACTGCCAGGGACCCAGCCACTCGGCTCTGCATGCTCTCCCATGATGGGCTTGTGAACTTTTGAGACTGTGAGCCAAAACCAACCTTCCTCTCCTATGCCACTTCTGGAAGGTCTTTTGCTAACAGCAACACTAGAACAACTAATGCACATGGCAAGAGGCAGGGGGATGTCCTTCTGTATGCTGTGAATATATGTTTCTCCTATTGGTTGATGAATAAAGCTGTTTAGCCCGATGGACAGTCAGGATTTGGCCAGGCAGGAAGTATAGGCAGGGATACCAGACTAGGAGAATTGTGGGAAGAGGAAGGCGGAGAGTGAGTCCCAGGGAGATGCCATGTAGCCACCTAAGGAGTAACATGCTGTAGCATTACAGGTAAGCCACAGCTTCAGGGCAGTACATAGTTTAATAGAAATGGGTTAGTAATTAAGAGAGAGCTAGCCAATAGAAGCCCGAGCCATCAGCCAGTTTACACTTAATATAAGCCTCTGTGTGTTTATTTGGGACTAAGCGCCTGTGGAACTGGGCAGAACAGAAACTTCTGTCTACAGCAGGGAGTGCATAGCGGTTTGAATAAAAGTGGTCCCCCACATATCTGAATAAAAGTGGTCCCCACATATCTGAATGCTTAGCACTGTCTGAGAAAGATTAGGAGGTACGGCCTTGTTGGAGGAGGCACAGCTGAGTGGAAATACAAAGCTAAGGGGAAACCATTGTGCTTCTGTGTTTTGAGTTTCCTTTTGAGATAAGAATTCAAGAGAAACAGTGTGAGGGGCGGTGGGACTTGACCCCAATTTCAGAGG